CTCTCTCTCTCTCTCTCTCTCTCTCTCTCTCTCTTCTTGCATGTGCAGCTTAATTTGTGCTAATTTTGGCGTTTTCCCGTTCTAGAGCTGCCCAGAACTGGCAGCTGCCACTTCACTGGTCGTGCCAGCTTCAGCTGCCAGGGTGGCCAAGTGATCTATTGATCAGTGGGGATTAAAAAGATACAACGCGGCGGCAGAAAAAAAGTAAATACACTTTCGATCATTATTTAATTATTTTCTCTTTTCCAATTCTCTCTCTTCTTTTACAGATTGCTCTACTGATTTTTTCGGTTTAAAACAGTACTCTCAACTTGACGTCGCTGTGGTGGTGGTGGTGCCTAACCAGCATTGTTTGTTTGTTTGTTTTTCATCAATTCTACACTTTTTTGTTACAATGCCTATGTGAAAGAATTTTAATGATTTCCAAGCAAAGCTAGCACTCTCAACTCTCAGCACTTAGCGTCATGGGCAACTACATCACCAATGGCCATCACCCGTTTCGGCGTCGGGGCACAGTGGACGGCGGTGTCGTTCACGGCCTGGCGGGCATTCTCTCCATGTCGAATGCTGACGGACAGTCTGGTTCTACTGCTGCCGCTGCTGCCTCAGGTCAACAACATCAGGGCATGAGCATCGGCTTCGGCAGCGTCTCCGCCGTCGGCGCAATGATGAGGAGGCCGAGCAATCCCAACACCAATAAGATATCTGTCTGTCGAACCAGTCGTTCGGCGAGTCGGGCGAGCAGTGCCGGTGCTGGGGGCGGCGGCGGCAGCAAAAAGACCACCGTCAGCAGCAGCCACGACTCGAGCAGTCAGCTGGACGAAATGACGCCGCCACCGCCGCCTCTGAGCGAGCTTGACCGCCTGAAGGGCGAACTGAGGGACGCCAAGAGGCAGATTTACGAGCGAGAGCAGCAGCTGCTGAAGTTGCACCGTGAGATTCACAAGCTAAGGTCGGTGCTGGACCACTCGGACGCCATGAACGCGCTGAAGCCGTCGCTGTCGATGACGATGCTCCTCTCGGCGGAGCACAACAACAACAACAACGGCAAACTAAGCTACCCGAAGAAACAGGGCGTCAGCGGTGAGTCCTACGGCTCGATGACCTCTCTGGGTGACCCGCTGCAGAACATCAACTTTGTCTGGAAGGACTTTGACTGTCGACGGATCATTCAGGAGGCGCTGCAGGTTTGTTTACTTTGTTTAACAAAAGCCATTTCTAACGATTTTCTCTTGCAGGACAACAGCTTCCTGAAGAACTACCTCAACCTGGAGCAGCTTGATCTGATTGTCGACTCGATGTACGAGAAGGAGTTCAGCAAGAACACGTACATCTGCCGGCGAGGCACCTACGGCTCGCACCTGTACATCCTCACCTACGGCCACTGTGAGGTGATTGACGCCCACGACAAGCCGGTCAACCAGATGGGCCCGGGAAAGGCGTTCGGTGAGCTGGCGCTACTCTACAACTGCACGAGAACTGCGTCCGTTAAAAGTAAGATGTCTGCTAACGTGAAAGTGCTGACGTTGCTTTTCTGTAACTAAACACTCTTTTCATTTCGTTTATTACTATTGCCAACCACACACAAACAGCGATTACTCGCGTACGAACGTGGGTACTCGACCGAAAGGTCTTTCAGATGATTATGATGAAGACCTGCCTCGACAAGTCACAAACTATAAAGCAATTTCTTAAAAGGTAAGCAGGGGAAAGAGAACTTTCATTTTGTTGTCAAGAGTTTCTTTCACCACTACTTGACTTGTCTGGTTTCATCTTTCAACCACTTTTTCCGTTGCAGTGTGCCGCTTTTGCGTGAACTTAGCGACGAGAAGATAAGCAAAATAGGCGATGTCGTCGAGGTGGTGAGTGTGATTCACTATTTAAGCAATTCTTTTACATTGTTGACAATGGACGGAAAACTGGCACTAGTAATTGTGCAGTAGTAGTAGTAAAAGTGCTTGTCTAAGGTATTGAATTACTGAATAAGAGGCACATTGCTTAAATGTTGCAACATCAAACGCTCTACAGACAATTCAAAGAGTCGGTTCAAATTAATTAATTAGTTGCTACTGTAGAGCATTTGCAGATTTGCTGAATGGGTCTGAGAATCAAAGTAGACTGACAATAATCAAAGCCAAAATGTAGCAACAGCAGCACCAGAATCCAGACTTACTTTGCGTGATTTAAATAATTAATACACTAGAAAAAAAAGAAAAAGTGGTTGCACGCGTCAGTTGCACAGTCGGCAGGGACAAAAGGAAAGACAGAAAGACTGCCTTTTGCTGGCAGAGAAAGTGGCCCATCTGCCGCTAGCGGTGGTTAAACGACCCAGTGCAGTAATTGCCTTTAATTAGCACTGCACTGCAACGTTTGTGCCAACAAATAGACCACCACCACAGCTTTCCTACTCCTCTAGCATCCCATTGTGTGTTTCAGTGCCTGTTTTGCTGTTGTTTGCTTACGACAGTCGATCTAACTCGGTTTGTCTCTCTAGTCAGTAGTAGTGCCGCTCAGTAAACTTACAAGTGCCTGGCATGCAAAAGGCACTAAAAGGCAAAAAGCGTTCATAGAAGGGAAAAACAGTTCAGAGGAAAGCTCCGTCCCATTTCATTAGTGAAAGTAAAAAACAACAACATTTTTTGCATTTGTACAAAAAAGCAACTAATTAATTGGTTTTACTATTTCAAATGCCACCCTTTCAGGACTACTATCCACGCGGCGATTACATCTGCCGACAGGGCTCTTCGGGTGACTCTTTCTACATCATCTCTAAGGGCTCGTGCAGGGTGACGCAAATTCGCCATGGGCACTTCTCGCCGGATGGTCATGGCAGCAGTGGTGCCAAATCAAAGAACGGCGTGGCGCCATTTGTCAAAGAAGAGACCATCAGGACGCTTAAAGTGGGTGACTACTTTGGCGAGCAGGCACTGTTGCTGAACCTCAATCAGCCAAATCCATTTCTGTCTGGCCTTTCTGCTGACAACGGCAATGGCTCTGTCGTCTCGCCGACGAGGACGGCCAATGTCATCTCTGAGGACTGTGAGTGCCTGGTGCTCGACCAGTCAAGTTTCTTCAGTTTGCTTGGTGATCTCAATGAAATTCGGTTTGTGTTTTCCTTTCGCTAATGATTTTTTGTCTAAAATTTTTGCTTTCTTTCTCACAGATACAAATCGTACAATGACAGTGAAGAATATAATGCCACCATTGCCACTACTGCCGCCGCCGCCAGTGCCCCTAGCTCAGCAGTGAAAAGTAGTGCCAATGCTGACTCAAGTGCCACTGCAGCAGCAGCAGCAGCCAGTGCCACCTCCAAACCGCTCACCAATCTGCTCTCCACCCTTTCACTCTCAAAGAAGGATCTCCTTCTAGAGACAAACCTGAAGACCGGAAACCAAAAGACAGCGCCTGATCCCTTCTTCTACCGCCTCACCTTGGATGACCTGGAGCACCTGTGTCAGCTAGGTCAGGGCGGCTTCGGCATGGTCAATCTGGTGCGCGCCAAAAGCGACCCGACGCGGGTGTTTGCGCTGAAACGTTGCTCAAAAGAGTTCGTCCGTGCCTCTCACCAGGAGCAGCACATCATCAATGAGAAACTGGTGATGCAGCGAGTCAGCGGGCGGCACCAGTTTCTCATTCAGCTGCACCGGACGTTTCGGGATGAGAAGAATGTTTATTTTTTGATGGAGACAGCCCTTGGCGGGGAACTGTGGTCTGTTCTTCGGCAAAGGTACTAGATAGTGTTTGGTTGATTTGTTCACGACAAGNTTTGATGGAGACAGCCCTTGGCGGGGAACTGTGGTCTGTTCTTCGGCAAAGGTACTAGATAGTGTTTGGTTGATTTGTTCACGACAAGTACCTATTGTTTTTGACTTGTTTGATTGTTTGTTTTCTTTGTACAGAGGTCCATTCAGCGAGCAGGCATGCCGTTTTTACATGGGCTGTGTGATTGAGGCGCTGCAGTATCTGCACTCCAATAACATCATCTACCGTGATCTTAAACCGGAAAATTGCCTGCTTGATAGTGATGGCTATTTGAAGCTCACTGACTTTGGTTTTAGCAAGGTGACGAAAAAATGTTTTTTGCAAGCATTGACTAACTGCCATTTTATTTGTTTGTTTTACAGTTTCTTCAACCAGGAGATAAAACGTGGACATTTTGTGGTAAGTAGAGAGAGCTTGTAAAAGCATAATTAGATTCATTCTAAATGCAATTGTTTTATCAACAGGCACCCCAGAATATGTCTCGCCTGAAATTGTGCTAAATCGAGGTTCGATTTTGAATTTGAGCAAATTTTTTTGTCGATTATTAATTTTGCATATTTTTTGTAGGTCACGACAAATCGGTAGACATTTGGTCAATTGGAATTCTTCTCTACGAGCTTCTTACTGGAATGTAATTTTTTGCCCAATTATTATCATGTGCAGTTTAGTTTGACATTGTTACCTTGTTGCAGCCCACCCTTCACCTCGAATGACCCCTTGCAGACGTACCACATTATCCTGCGCGGCTTTGACTCGATCGGCTTCGACGAGGGCACCTTCTCGAAGCACTGCGTCAACCTCATTCGCGCCCTCTGCAAGGAGAACCCCACGGAGCGGCTGGGGGTGCGCGGGCGCAACGGCTACGCCGACATAAAGAAGCACAAGTGGTTCGCTGGCTTCAATTGGAGCCACCTGGTGGCGCGCAAGTTGGCCCCGCCGATCATTCCCTCGCTCACCTCGGACACGGACACGCGCTACTTTGACACGGTGCCACTGAAGCCTGATGGCAGTCGATTCAGTCCGGTGGGCCCCATTGGTGCTGGTGCTGGAACTGGTGGAGGACTGACCACTGCTCCCACTACTACTGGCAACAAAAGTCCCTCATTTATGCTTCACAAAAGCTCGGCCAAGTTGTCCAGCCTGTCATCGCCGAACACCTCCTCAAGTAACTCTAGCGATGCTGGCAAGTTGAACGTCTCCAAGGCGAACAATGAGAGCAGCAAGGAGTCTAGTCTGCAGTTTGACTACAGCTGCGACTGGGAGAGCTATTTTTGAATTATACCTTTTTGTTTTATACGATTCACACGCCTGTTTTTTTGTCATCAAACACATCTTTATTTAACTTTCATACAGCAAAAAATTACAATAAAAACAATATATCTTTAACATTTGTGCATTACATTCATTAGTGTGTTGAGTTGATGTTTGGATGACAAAGTTTGATGAAATCTAAATCAAAGTTTTAATATTTAGGAAAGCAAAAACAATTGCTAATTGGAGTTTATTATTTGTTCTACAGTTTTAGTACACCCTACTTTGAAAGGAAAAATATAGTTTTGTCGGTTATTGAACAAATAAATGTTTGGTTACAGTGCTCCCAGCGCAAAACAAAACCCGGAGTTTTGCTTTCGTTCAGTGCTGTGAATCAGGCTGCTTCAGGGTGCTGCTCCCTCCTGATGAGCCTCCCTCCTCCAGCGAGGAGATGCTGAA